AGGGAACAACATGTGGAAACACAGATATAATCCACATTACAGTTGACTTCTGTTCATACTACTCATAAGACACGTTGTTTCTGGAATTTATCATTTGCTTGACTACACATAGGTCTCTCAGCCTGGCAGGAGACATACTGTGAAGTGTTTTTATACTTCAGTTTGTTGGCAAAACTATGGAGAGCAAAGCAGCTTAAAAACTACAACCCTACTATAATTGGTAAGGAAAAGGGATTCCAAACACTCTAAAAAAAAAGGGCTTAAGCAGCAGAATTTTTAATGCCCATTGCATCACCTATGATAGCCATCCATACCTTTGCTTTAGTTAGCAGTTAACTAACGATCCTTTGCATTAATTTAGTCCTTCTCTCTTCAGATTGAGTTAAGCTGAACTTCCTCAGTTCTACTGTAAGCCATGAGCACGTATATATACAGCCAGCTTCCACAAGCCAGGTACTCACAGTAGCTTGTTCCCTGCCATCACATTTTCCTCTATCTAAGCAGTACGTACCAATCTCTCAACATAACCAGGGAAGGAGGGTACCTCAGTGACTTTTTTCTGCACTGGAGAGGGGATGGGACTGTTCTCTGTGCTCTCTGCATCACTCTCACTATTGCTGCCCTCAGTGTTAGCACTGGTGATGCTGGCTCCACTGGCATGACGGAGTTTCTTCTTCTCATCTCTGGCCTGGTTTTGATGTTTGTAGTGAAGCACTGCTTCAAAGTTCATCACTGCCCAGGCATGCCAGGCCTGCCAACAAGAGAGAACAAAAGTCAGAAGGAAGATGAATCCTTTCTGCAACTTGTACTTCCTAATTATTAGAGATAATAATCCAACCTTTCTGAGCCTACAGAGCAGTAGTAATAATACTCTGCAGACAACACAATGCCTTGCTTTCTCTAATCACTTGTAGTTTTAACTGCCTTATTATCTTAAATAACATCATGGTGTGTTCTTGGCCAGGAGCTCACTGTTGAATATTAAGGCAAATGAGCTCTGTAGAAAAAATTAAATCACATTCCATTCAAATGCACCTTGATTTTTCAAAGCTTAAAATGAAGTCTAATAAGTTAGGAGGAGGGGAGGTGTAACGGGAAGAAATGCAGGAGATGGCTGCCCCAGAGAAGATCTGGCACCAAATATTAATTGAAATTTCACAACCCTGAAATCAAAGGCTCTTTAGAGAATTATCATCAGGGCTACTTTCCTAGTTCAAGTATGCTGAGTGAGTTAATTTTAAGTTAATTATTTTTTTTCCATTTAGACTATCCTTTCTCCTTCACGTTAACTGATAGGAGAAAAAGTCACAGAAGACTAGAAACTGATTGGTGGCCTAGTTTTACCAGCCAGATAAAATTCTAAATAATCTCATGGTTGCCTTGGGCTGCTTTCTCTGGTTTTTGAATCCTATTCTCAGTAACAAGGCAGATAGTTATAGGAGATCTTTCTGTGAACATCTTCCTCTCCTGCAGTATCAGCTGTGATTAAATACACTGATCTCTGCAATGGTGCCTGGAACCTTTTCCTTACTGACCTTGTACCAGTTGCGATCATGCTCTGTTGCAGCACTGTAGTACTGCAAGACTTTGGGGATGGTACTCTCATTGATGCCTTGCAGGTTCAGCTGCCACTCGCCCAGCTTCAGGAAACACCTGGTTAAGCAAAGGGATTATTGAATCAGAACCTAGAATGAAAATGAAGCCTGCTGCATTAAGAGGCAGACTTCTTATCTGAAGTCTGAAAGACATCTCATGTGGTAAATCCACTCAGTAAGCCTTTTCTGCAGACTGGGAGCATACATGTTAACATGTAAGGCTCCTCATTTGTATCAGTTATCAAATAAATGTAAAAAGTAGCTAACAGTAGCATCAGTACTGATAAAATGCAGACAGCGTATGTGCTGGTTAGCTATACTTATCACCATACAGACTTGCCTTCTGGAGACAACACTGCAGCAGACAAACAGTGGAAACAGAGCAACTGCTATTCCCCCAAGCCAGAACCCCATTAAGTCATCCCCTCCCAGAGTAAAGGAAAAACAACATATTTTTACTGCAGCAGGGTGGGGCTGTGAAGGTTTGTGCAAAGCTTAATACTTTGCTCCCTCAGCAGGCTTTAAATACCGCAGTTACACAGCTGTATTTTCTATATTTTAAGTTTTCCAAAAAGCACTGTGTAAGAAAAATATTCCAATTCATTACTAATTTGCCTTCCATGATAGTCCCTCTGAAAAAAAAAAAGATTACTATGCTGTTATCAAGTTCCCATTCTCATAAAAGCAAATTAAGTGCATGTCTCCATTTAAAAAAAACCCCAAAACCTTCAGTAGTAAGCCCTACACAACTTCTTTAAACAGGAAACAACAGATCTGGCACCTCCAGATCCATAGAGGAACATGGAGATTATAAAATACTGTTGCACTGAAAACACATCTGAAGAGACGATCACATGCAGGGCACCTACTGCCCATTGCGCTGCTGTTGTATTAAGGGCACACACTGCCAAGCATGGGTGCCAGGCATGTGGGAAGTGTTTCTTTCCTACTGACCGGATCTCCTGAAAACCAGTGAAATAGCAATGCTGAGAGCTCTGCCTTCTGCCAGTGAGACACAGTGCTGGAAAAATATAACCAGCTGCCAGTGACAAATACAAGATTGTTTATGCTGATGTGTCACAGTAACATTTACTGAAAATTATGATAGACCAGGTGCTGACCGTGCCATGAGCTTGTGGAGTTCCTGCTTGTGCTGCTGGTCCTCAGTGGCAATAGCATGCTGTGCCTGCTGCTGCATCGTCTGCACAAAGTGCTGCATGTGCTGGAACGCATCGATCTGTAAGGGGATGATGGTTACAGTAAGGACCACTGGGGTTAAATACAACTTCACAAGAGAGGATAATAAAGTGGAAATAAATTTTCACTGAAAACAAAAAACACAGTTTTATTTTCTTTCAAAGCTTTTTAGCCATTTACATCCCTCTAAAATCAGTTGATCTATATATGTAGCACCAAATAAATGAAAAGGTTAGAGATTCTTGATATCTCGGAAATCTGGCCACTGAATTGCTACACTGAGGAACAAATAACTGCATCCTTCCAATGCCAGGCACATACTCATGGCATACATACAAGTCAAAAGCATGACCATCCATAACACATGCAATTGTTGTGCTCTGATGTGCAAGAACTCAACTGTGGCAAAGTGATAAGGTCATCTGAACAAGAAGAAAACTGGTAAATAGCAGCAGAGAATGTCCTGTTACTGCTCATGCAGAGTGAGATTCTAGTAATGATATAGAGATGTCTTGTTTGCAATTGAGCACGCACATCGAAGACAGACCAGCAATTCCAATAAAAACAACCCAAATGTTCGTAGCTTACAAATTGTCACTATCATAATAGACAGGATTACAGGTCCAGAGAAGCCTGTCTATAATATGCTGTGGCCTGAAAAAAAAACAATTTGATGAAATAATGCCTGAAGGAAAACTTGCAGCTTCCTGATGTTCCCTCCTAACCCCTCAGCTTTGGCCAGGCTTACATAAGACAGTAGTGCTAAAGCAACTTGCACTACTGACTCTTTCTGAAATTCCTTGGAAAGAATTATGGGGTAAGAAAACCCTGAAATTAAAGATTTAAGAAAAGAAAGAATGCACAATTCACTGGAAACAATTAGAGTAAAGCTCTTGCAATCTGCAAGGCCATTTCAGGTCAAAAACTGCAGAATATGCTATTATGAGTCCAATTTACTTCTGTTCCCTCTACAGGAATGAGCTACTTTAGAGTGAGACAAGAATCACCTGAGCTGAAATGCCTCATCTATCCCATTCAAATGTCAGCATGCACAAGCCAGTTGTCAGGAAAAAAAACAGTATTAGCCCAGGGTGAGATAAAAAAAAGTATCACACAATTAACAGTAATGGAGGGCATTCCACAGCTTGTAACCTAACTTGGTTAGAAAGGAGGGGAATAACAATCTTAAATAGTTATGCTGTTATACCAGACATTTGTCAAAAGTAGATGAAGATACTGCGAGTTATGTTCCCCTCTCATATCTAGATACACCTAACAATCTGCACTTCAGGTCCCAGGCAGAGCACTTAAAGACTGAAAGCAATATGTTTTCTTCAACAACTGAATTCCTAGGTTTGTATGCAGCCTTCTTATGGTGTATGTCTGTAAAATGCAGCTGCTGGCAAAGGTCCTCGTTAGAAGAAATGCAATAGGGTTTACTTCTCCATCATTTTATCCGCTGTTTAAGAAAAGATTGTCGTGCAGCTCTGCAAGTTCTACATGGCTGGTTTCCATCTAGATGCCAGGTTTTTTTCCTACTGGATCTGGCAAGTGCCACAATGGCAGTGAGGAAACATTTTAGGTTAACCAGTCAACCCTGAACTCCTCAGCTTGAGAAAATGGTCATTTCCTACCATACCAGCCCACCTCAGTAGCTTATTATTCAGGATACCAAACCAAGTGAACACACAGTTGCAGAAGCCTCCTGTCTACATACATCACTAGGTATAGCTATGTGTTATTTAGTTAATGACAGTCACTCAAAATAGGACATAAGGATACACCCAACCACATAATACTCCTGGTACAAGGAAAATTCCCTAATCACTTTCAGTGTTTGGTACAAACAAACACTGAAGTATCACTCCAGACTGCAAATGCTATTGTAACCCTAACATTGCTGCTTCTGCCACGGATCTGCACCTTTAACCATGAATTTCAAAAGTAAGCATTTACTTTCCAAGTGCCATAAAGGACTAAATAATTGAGTGAGCCCTTCCAGCAGAAGGGTGCTCACAGAAAGGGTTAAAGACTTGCATGCAGGTCTAGGACTAATGCTACCTTGGGTAAAGTATTTCTCCCCCAGCACTGTAAACAACACCCAGTTTTAATGTGTTAGGGGAAAAAAAAAGCCCCTAAGCACAGAGCTTATGCACTGTATTTAAATAGGAAATCATTCAACGAGCAAGAGGAGATGATTCTAACCACATCTATTTCTCCTTCTCATCTTTCTTGCTTTTCTGATCTTTCTTTTTCCCTGTCTTCATGGGCTCCACATATTGTTGCATCAGTTTATTTCAGATGCGTTCTCTTCCCCCACCCTCTTCATCTTTGTGCTTTCTTTCACTCTGCTTTCTACAACTGCACCAGTTTCCCGCATCTTGTTGGTCTATTTCTTCATCACAGGTCAAACACAGAAAGTCCTCTTTCACTCAAAAAGGCAGGCAGAAGACCCATATACTTCTTGAGTCATTTACTGAAGAAAGTAAGAGACCATTGCATTGCTTTACAAAGCAAATAGATCAGGGCCTCACCAGCAGCTCTTTCTGCTTTTTAAATTCAAATGAAGAATAGTTAGGTCATGGCAATGTTCCCACAGCAATGGCTCTGCTCCAGTGCTGGCAATCCCAAAGACAGGAAAAATAAAAAAGATGTTGCAGAGTATGAGGATAAATGGAGGCTTTAATGTATATTAAAAAAAGATAAGTTATCCAGTCTGGAGCTTATTGGATTTGGTTATGTAAATTCTCCCTGCGTTGCAATGTCAAAAACATTCACTCTAGGCTCTTTGGAGCCAAACTGTTCCTATGACAAAACCCTATGTACTTTTCAGCAGTCTTTCAGCTAGAAATTTTCAATAATGTCCTTAATAAAAGTCAGTTCTGCTCAGCAATTAAGTACCAAACGCTCAGGATACTTCTCTAAAACTGCTAACAAAAAACCCCTTACTTCCCTCTTTCAGCATGTAACCCGAACCATAGGTACAGTGGTGAGGCTTGGCAATCAGGGCAATGGAAGAAAAAACAAGTATTAAGCCTGCACAGTAAAATCCTGGTGAGGACAGAAGAGCTACTATTGACCATTAACCTTGGCTGCATTCCTTGGGTACCTGATACTGGTTTAGCAAAAATCATCTTGCAATGTAGGAAATAAAATTAGGGCCAGGTCTTCTCTGTCACTGCAGAGTTTTAGAGGAAAATTTCAAAAGCTTACCTTCCGAGTAACAATAAGGAAAGCAATTAGTTGTTCTTTTTTAGGCAAGAGAAAAACAAAAAACCTTCAGCCTTGACTCTGTTATGTGGGGATTATGAAGAGCTATGGTGCGTGGCACCACACAAAACCTGAGCAGTGAAACAGAGTACTTTATTCTTTTGTACCTTACGGGCGCTCTTCCACATATGTTTCATGTATGCATAAGTCACTTGGGGATGTACTGTTGGCAGTGGGTGATCCAGCTGTCGAGATGGATCTACTCCTAAGAGCAGGACAAGTGTCTTATGGGCCAAAGCCTGGAGAAAATTGCAAAGAGAAAAAAAGCAGGTTAAAACAAGCTTATTCTTTCCTCCATTTCATGTTGACTACATGAAACTGCTATTGCCCACCACTAAAAAAAATACCTCTGAACGTCCAGATAAAACACAGATATATCAACCTTATTACCACTCTCTGGACTCGTAAGAACACCACACTATAAACCACGTCTTAACTGGGATCAGAGCATTAGAGTCTCATTTCAGAAACTAGTGAAGAGTGTGAAGTCTCTGTTTCAAGTATTTTTGGTAATAAAGCATGCAATGAATGTTGAAATAGGATTGTAATGTTCAACAATAACATCATCACATTCTAGATTTGACAAAGAGTGCTTTAACAGGGGAGAGCTGTTATTAATAATTGCCAGTTCTGCATAAAAACTTTCAGGTATAGCAAGCAACAAAAATTTGCTGGGGCTCTCAGGTACAATACTAGTCCCACAAAAATAACCTTGGCTACAAGCATGAACTCTATGCTGGTTACAGTTGTAGTATTTCAACAATTTCTGACCAGTCTCCTCCTCAGAAGACAGCCCATTGACTCAGGCAATGAAAGTATTTGGAAATGCTCAAGGTTGAAGCAGCATGACGAAGCCAATTGTCTAAAAATCTGCGGTAGAGGCTAGAGCTTGATAATGCTCACCAGTCTCCCACTCTTGCCACACAGGCTGGCATATTTGAGCCAAGTTCTCATGTCTTCATGGGGATTCACAACAAGAGATCGGACCATCAGTATTCTTTGCCAGTCTTCCACAATTCGTTGACAGCCCTGAGAAGAAAAGGAAGAGAGAACTTGTTAGCATTTTATCTCCAATCTACTCCATAGAGCCTCAGAACCTGAAGGGACTTTTCCCAAGATGAAGAGACTTCAGTATCTATAATTCACAGCAGGCTGACATCACGAACTAGCTGGCTATTTCTTTCAGACTGCAATGTATGAAGCAGGTTAAGTCCTTGACTCCTATTCTCTGCAGCCAGCTCATTGTTTGCAGTCTAATGATATCCTCTAATAGAAAAAGGAGAAAAGCTTCTAAAGCAGAAATGCACCCAAAACTCAGGAAAGGGCTTTGTGCAAACCTGAAACCAGTCAAGGGTTTTATAACACTTCTCAACCTAGTTTTAAAGCCTATTTTTGGTTTAAACAGTGACAAATCTCAATATGGAGATGGTACAAAACCAAATGGTTGCAAAGATAATTTTGTTACTGCCCTTTTTCTTCTCCTTGCATGTGTTGCTTTTAAAGGCTGGCATGACTGAACTGATACTCTGCCAGAAACTGCAGTTCCAACTGCTACACTGCTTGTGCAAGCATTGTCTGGTTCTTGTTTGTCTGAGGGAGAGGTACAACAACATTGTCAGTCAGAGCAGGCTACGTCTATATTTCAAATGTTCAAGGATGCTACAGAGAAGGAGAACTACGGAAAGGACAGGAACAACCAAATATACAGTGTTTGCTGTAATGGCCAGGTACTTCAGGGTAACAGTGATGCTCTGAAGTTCATACTGATCTAGAGGTGACTTAGACTTAATTTTGAGGTAAACAAAGAATTTCCAAAGGCAGCAAGCATCTTAGCACCAAAGCATCTATTTCTTTTCCTTTTTGTTTTTCCCCAAAACTGCAGGCTGGGAAGTTAGGCAAAGCTTGTTCCCTTACACCCAAATAAATCTCATCCAGTAAGCATATTAAAATTATTAAAAAGGAGCTATAAAATGTGCAAGAACTATATGTACTGCTCTCAGGACTATAAACAGCTGTATTCAGACATTACATTTCCTGTCACTCTCAGTTTCTCCACCCCAGTGGAATGCTCCTGAGCTTTTCCAGACAGGAATGCAGATGGGAGACGAGAAGCTTTGTCAGAGTTTCCCAAAAAGCTAAAAAAATATGCAACAGCAACAGCCTTTCATAAGAAGGCAGATATAGCAGTCACAGCGAAGAACTCTGCATAGGGAGAAATTGTTCCTCGTGGAAGTATATCAAAATTTGGTATAATTTTGGTATAATTTGGTAGCATTTTACCCTAATTATGCTTTTTCCCCCTCCCCTTCCTTCCCTTGCAGGAATCACCTCTTTAAACAGTATTCCTGTATGTACTACTTCACCTGATGATGTCCACTTTCATTGTGGGAATGCCTCCTGTAAGGAAAGTCTCAAAATATTTGGCCAATTTAAACTTTCAGAGGTGCTTTGGATTTCTGCTATTTACAGTAAGAAAGGCACAAACTTTTTTGCAAATACAGGAAAAGCAGCATTGCTAGAGGTCTCTTAAAATAAGGACAAGGCCAACCAATTGGAAATGTTCTTGTAAGAGGTCAAAAAGAAACAGGACCATCTTTTACATGTCTGTGAAATCTCTGTCCAGTCTTCCAGCATTGTGAGAGAATTCACTTCTCCTTAAAATGCAGCCAGCCAAGTAAAAAGCCTTATCCAAACCAGTATTTCCAGGTGCAATCCAACACCGAGATAAGCAGCCTTGATGATGTTACTAGCATCATCATTCTGTACACATCTACTTCACCCTACTAAAATGTCACATCAGTAGATACCTCAGGAACATTAACAAAAGGAATGCCCAGACAACAAGGACAAATGCAAAGGAGACAGAAAGCATGCAGCCACGTAAGCATATCTGCTATTGAGATATAAAGAGAAATGGAAAGATTTGCTGAGCCATCACGCTGACTCAAAAGTAAGCTGTTCACGCCAGCACATCAGCATCTCCATCCTTCATCTTTACATAGATGTACCTGCAGTCTTTCCCACCAGATCTGGCGGATGATCTCACGGCGCTCTGGTACAAGTTTATACTGGATAACCTCTTCCAGCTCTGACAGCATCTGGCAGGATACCATAGCCTGAAGGAAACAATCACATTCCATTCCAATCACTACAGAACAAATCTATAATTAAGGAACAGTATTTTGGCATCAAAATCTTAAGTACATATGCTGCCCAACAGGTGAAGGACATATATTGGTAAAGTTATATACTGGTATCTAGACAATCTGCTGACTCAAGATTTCTAAACATCAATTCTTTTTGTTTTTGGGGGGGGGGGGCGGGGCCCACTTCTCTTTTTTTTTTTTTTTTTTTTTTTTTTTGGGGGGGGGGAGGGGCTCACTTCACTGCTTAATTTGACCCAAAGCTGCTCCTACGAAGTTATATTTCTTACCTGACAAGAGCCATTTTGCTTTTGGGTCTACACAGGTCTTATATACAAGCACTACTCAGAAGTTTTATGCAACTTCTACAGAGTGTGATGCAGCAGCGAGGAGAATGAAGACAGAACTAAACACTTACCCCATAGGCTCGACTGTAGCTCTCTCCCGCCATGGCAGTCAGCTCAGCATCCAGCAGATCTCTGGCTTTGTCAATGCACTGAAATAGAACAAGATATTGGGTAAAGGTGGTGTTTTATCTGGAGTCAACTGTTGAAACTGCTAATCATCTGCTTCACCTCATGAACAAAGCTGGCATTGTTCCCATTCTCCAACAAGAACCAGGAAAAGATGTTATCTACAGCTTGAATCAACATGAAAACAGTGTCCAGGGGCAGATATAGAGCAAGTCAGGAGGGCTTCATTTATCACCTGCACAGTCTGAAGTTTGCCTTTGTACCAAATAAAGTTTGTAGTATTTCTAATCCTACCATCATTATAGAGATCATCATTAATAACATTTATAGAGGGAAAAAGAGAGAAGTTCACATTTTAATACAACAGAGTCTGTTACAAAAAAGCCTCAAGAAATGTCTCTTGATAATACACAATGACAGAAAATAGCTTTCACTGTTTTATGTAACCCAGCAGGTTTTTATGAATTTTACAGGACAGCAAATTCCATTTCTCTTCCTGCAACTAAGGCATGCTCTTCAAGCATGAAATAAATCCTGCTCTGGTTCCAGCCGTTATATAATCACTCATCTATAGTTTTTTCCTGTTCAAAATGTTAAAGGTTAATCACAAACTCTACCCCTTTGAATGCCTGGCTAATTTTACTGCGCACATCACCCTAAAATCTATGTACGGGTTTTGACAGAGCTGACTGAATTACTCCTTTATCTAAGCTGGCAAGCCAGCACAGAATTCTGAGAAATGGGACTTGAGCTTCCTTGGAAAGTAAACAACATGCTTCACATCTACAGAGGGGGAAAAGTCACTCTGCAAATCTCCTCTGTGACAAACAAACATACCAATATGGCTCTGTTTAAGAGACTCATTCCTTGCCTTGATTTCTCATCTCAATCTAAGATTTAACACTACTACCAGAAAAATTAGAGCTGAAGTTCTGGTATGTGATATATATGAACACTTCACTGAAAAAGCTGCAACAGACAGAAGTGCACAGAATCTTATGCGTGTCTTTGTGCCATGAATGCCTTTTCTCAAGTAGTGCCTTGTAGAATGGAACCTGTGCTGAGATAACCCTTGTGCACTGTCTGTCCAGAAAAAAATACATAAAAATAAGGAAGCCTAAGAATGACTATGGCATCTTAGACTCTACAGCAGTGGACCACTACTGTCTGTACATATTTTACTGCTGTAATACAACTTTCTGGAAATACAAGATAAGTTTAATCACCAAGGTCTAATATATCAATAATTTAAAAAAAGGTTATTGGGCAATTCATAGGTTATAGCAGACTGCTGTAAAGCACTGTCTTTCCATGTAGCAGTACAGCCTAGTTCATCTTAAACCAGGTTTTGGGAAGCCAATACAGAAGATAATTACCTGCTGAGCCAGTGAGAAAAGGTCCTGATGAAGAGCCAGAACAGCCCTGTAGAAAGCACCATCGTGGGTGTCCCTTGGGATCATGCAGGTGTATTCTTCCATGCTATCCCACTGACCTGCAGAGAAACAGATATCCTCAGTAACCGACAGCCCTCTCTGCAAGATAAGAACAGAACTATGCTACAGTGCTTAAACTTCAGCAACAAGGCCTGAATGCTGTGTGGTACTTCTACATTTGTGTCAGTTTTCCAGCAGCTTGCCTTTGGCAGGGACAGTCTGTGTTATATACATACACAGAATTACAGACGAGTGAAAACATGCATTTTTCCTCTAGGCAAATTGCTATCCTCATGGAAAAGTTTCTTGCATTCTGACATTTCCAGAACATTTGAAGGAATTACAATGCAAAAGATTCATTCTTTTTCTGTGAAGGCTGGCAGAGATTAAGTGACTTACAAGCTTCTCTAGTAACTATCTGACTATCAACAAAACTGATATTTAGACCATTTCCAGAATATTTGAAGGAGGATGATGGATGAATGCAGAGATTAAGTGACTTACAAGCTTCTCTAGTAACTATCTGACTATCAACAAAACTGATATTTAGACCATTTATAGATTTACTCCACTTATAACTGTCTACTCAGCAGACATAACCTATCAAAAGATTCTACAGACATTGTTCCAGTTTGTAAACAAGAGTCTACCACAAATCAGAGAAATTCTGCTAATCTCATTTCAAGCCTGAGCTCTGTTCAATGTACAACTAAGTAAAAGGGACCAATTAAGCAACTGATTACCTGCTCAGATCAATAAGGCCACACTGAGAGACCTTACGTAAATGCAGGTTTTCCAAAGTGCTTCAGTGTTGAATAACACTTACTCCATATCACAATGTACATAATTTTGTTCTTTGATTTTACTGCTTCTTATATTTTGCAGTTCTGAAGTGAGTTAAAACTCTGCTTTCACATTGTGGGCTGTCATACGCTTCCACACAAGAATACATTACCTAGACCCCAGGCAGCAGCAGCAGCCATCCTAGCCATCTTAGCTTGAGTTTCATCATTGACCTGTGTCCACTTTTCACAGCATTGCTGGTGGAGCTGCCCCCTAAGAAGAATCCACAATTTCTGATCAGCAAAAAGACTCTTCTAGGAATTCCTCCTTGTTAAACAACCACTTTCCACAGAAAAGACAACAACCAGCCCCATCGTTCTTTTTATACAGAGTGGAGAATAGCATTCTTCTCCTCTGGCCAACTCAGACACGCTAGTCTGATGACAAATATCCTATCATCAGAAAATAAATTAAAGGCATGCTATGCTTTGAAAACACAGATGCAGACAAAAGGTTTCATTTGTTCCTCAGCAGTTAGAAATGCCTGCTTTACAAACAGAACTGCCAACTCTAGTCTACAAATATAGAAAAAACCCCATTACCAAGAGAACAAAACAACAAACCACCACCAAACAAGGGATGCTTTTTTTTCTTTTGCAAGCATCAGTACAAAGAACGTATGATCTGAATAGCTCGTGCATGACTCCTGCTATCAAACATTTTGGATAAACACTTCATCAAGTTTGAAGACCGAGACTAGAGAATCACTGCTGCTGTAGCCTAGCATGATGACTTGTCATGGCAAGATCTCAGAGGGGATCTGAATCTTTCATCTCCAGTCGAGAGGAAGCATCAGGATTTTTTATATTATTTCTTTTAAATCAACTGTGAATGCTCCATTAATCAAACCAATTACTGTGGGTGTTGCAGTTCCAGAATTTCTCAGGCTGGATACTCTGTAGCAGTGGAACAGCTGCCAACCGTGAGGGAGGCCAACTTGCTTTCTCTACTGTCATCCTCTCGCCTCCCAAAAAAGGAAGACGAGTTAGTCAAACAGAACTGATGGGCTGCCACAGGCAAGATAGTCATCCTGACAGCTTAATGGCCCAGGCAAAAAACCCAAAGCAAATGAAAAACCAAGCCAAACCTAGCACCAGCAGTAAATCAGGACCTCATAGATGTTAATAAAGTAGTATGGCTCTTGCAGACATAACTACATCAGGAGACAAATGAGTAAGAGTATTTTGGCTGTACTTTCAAAACATCACTGCACAAAGCACTGCAATAATGATGGTGCATAGTTATCAGTTCTAGATTAACTGTCATGTTCTGCTAAGCAGACTCCAGTAGCACCGACAGTCAAGTTAAACGCTACTGAAGAATGTCGGCAGCAAACTGCGGAGTCCTCTGTCAGGATGATGTCTCTACAGTCAGCTGCAAGGTAGCAGACGGCACTTTGCAAAGGCATGTCTGAATTGTAAAACACATTTGCACAGAGACAGAGTGCAGTTCCAGAACAGCACGTAGACAGGTCTGAGATACTGTGATTGCTCTCATCATTATAGACTATCAATAGATGCCTAACATCTACTCCAACAAAAGAAAAGCATCCTTTTGTAATATGTCTGCTACTGACATGTGAAGAAGCATGAGGTTCAGAGAGGACTCTTCACACAAACACATGTCCTGCAGGAGGGAGAAATTCCACAAATCCCTTTTGGGAACTGCCTACTCTCTTAGGAGAGATGATTGAGAATTGCTCAGTAACAGGATCTATTTTCCCCCCTGAAAAAAGCTACGCCCAGTATGCCTCGCACTCATCTAGAAACAAAAAGGGCAGAAAAATGCTGTTAGAATTAGGTTTCTCAAACAGCCCTGTTTCTCTAACAGTAAAATGACTTTAGTGAAGTGGAATCTCCTTACTGTGTGCCATCCCATGGGTTCACGTCAGGACCCATCAGGAAAGAGCTCTAGTGACACGAAAAGTTCAGGAGAAAGGCGGAACCTGGACCAAATCACATATGCCCCTGGGTAGAACTGCATGCTACAGTGCACAGGATGCCTTCTCCAATTATCTTCTTTGAATTGAAGTGAACAGGGAGAAAAACAGAAGCCCCTAGTTAACCAGCAAGCTATGAGTCACTACCAGCTCACCCTCTCACAAACACTGACTTGAGTCAGTTACATGTTGACAACACACATTTAAAACAGGGTTTGAAATACCAAATGTCCACAAAGACTATGCTTAATGAATGCTAAAAAAAGTGTTTTAATTTAAAACCCAGCCATCTACAAAATGGGCAAAAGTTTTAAAATGGGAGTAATTTATTTGGCATAATCTTACACGCAGGTGACTATCGGGAAGCAGTCAATTCCACTAACAGTTGTGCAAAAGACCATGCATTCTGAATAGGCATAGGTCTGACTACGAATAAATATAGAAATCTCCCATATTTTAATCAGTTTAAAAAGGAGGGCCACAACGAGCTCCTTTTATGATTGTTTTTGACAAGTGCTGCCCAGTTAATGTTTAAATAGAGGTCCCCTCTATTTACAATTTCTTTCTCTGTTACAAATGGAGTTGACTCGACAGTAAGACTGCTGGTTCTCTTTCGGAGAGACCTTAAGTCATCAGATGGCCTGGCCCAAAAGGCTTAGAGATGTTATTACCAATTCTGACTTCAATGAACAAAGCAAGAAGCTACTCAAAATACTCAAACTATTAAGTAAGCAGGAGTAAACAGGAATTCAAGCAAAAAAACTTCACCTGGATGACAGCATCCAGAGAAAAGGTAGGCACCATTTTTAAAGGCACCATTTTCTTCAGTCTTCAGGCATTCCTCCTTACCATTCACCAAGTGCCTCCAAGCAACGCATCCGTCCCAGCATCAGCTCAGGATCATCTTTGTTTGTGTCCATCTTCTTGTCATAAGCCACCAGAGCATCTTCCCATTCATGAAGCTTTTCATACCAGGTAGCCTGAATTTCCTAGGAGGATGGAGGGGGGGGTGGAATCAGAATAAATAGCAAGATTAATATTCCTCGTTCTTTATTCACTACTGCAGCTTTTCCTGAAAAATTCTATCTTTGGTAAGTCACTGAGCCCTTTTTTCATTCTAAATATCCTCATGGACATCTGTGATACAGAGAAAGGCCTTGAGCTAGTGCAAAAACAAGAATCCTGAGTATTGCTCAACTTGCACAGAAATGAGTTCAGATTTATCAGAGGGATCAATCCAACATAATCCTTCTGTTTGGTGTCACTGAGATACTAGCTCAGTAACTGGTCCTTTTCTTTTTTGGAGAGGGGGAACGGGTGGAATAGGAAAAGGGGCAAATCTATAAAATATTCCACTTCCCATTGTTGCACATGCTTGCATTTAAACAAGAACAACAGTCCTGTGTTCAGGAACAGAGTGACTAATAGTGGAAAAAAAACCAAAACCTAATCCCAAAAGCACACTGTGCATCCGGCTACTGCTAGGCAATTTTTTAATACAGCAGGTAGTTAGAGTCTAATCACAGCCCTCACATGGAAAGGCTGCGGTTTGTAACAAAGACTTTAAAAGTAAGCCAAGCAGTGATCCTTATCAGCTGCACAAACTTTTCTTCAGTCTTTGGTTTCTAGATTTTGTTTCTAATTTTCAAGAAATAAAATGCCTTATTATTTTTTTCCATACTTATTTCTGCCAATGTTTCTCGGCTCGATCCTTGGCAGCTCATGTCTTGACATAGGCTGCAGAATAGAATCTTTTCCCAGCCCTGTAGGCAGGGTCAGTATAAACCACACTGTGCATGCCAAGTCTTCTACTTCGAATGTTTATTATACACCGGCCCTTTAACTTCTCAGCTCAGTCATAATATTTCAATTAAGTTCTCGAAAGTAGAGCTCACAACTCCTCTTGAGTTCTTTTCACTGCCTATTCTGGCAAACTCTGTAATTTGAACTACATTTACTGCTAAAGAGTGAGGTCAGAATTAGGTAACAGAGAGCTTTGCTCAATCCACCCAATGAATCATAGGAAGCTGCAAAGATGTTCTGAAGTTCATACTTCTCCAAGAAAGGACTTCTTTTCCAGTCTAGGTCAAAACCACACATAATTCTACATCAGAGAAATTCCACCATTTTGTGCCTATAACTGTTCCCACTTTCCTAATGGAAGAGGTCAGTCTACTGTGCTTCCAGGGCTGCCTTCCTTTTCCCAATCACCCAAAGGCACTGCAATAATTATCACTGCAAAATCATCTTTTTAAGAGTGGAACTGGCAGGAGAGCATAGATACTTTAGTCCCTGAACACAAATTAAATGCTTATTAAAAAAAGAAAGAAAAAAAGCTGTGAAGAAAAAGACACAGAAGAAATACAGAGTGGGGTTATTTTATTTCTGTGAGCAGTCAGAACTGTAAGGCACTGGTTAATCTGCTATTCTAAATAGTAGTATCGGTGAACTCTGACAGGTTCATGTGTGTCCTGGATGAGAAAGGCTAAAGGCACAACTTCCATTAAATGCTTACCTGGAAGGTGTTGATGTAGCTTCTCAAAAACCCTCAAGCACTTAAAGCTTAGATCAGGAACTTACTCCCTCACTCCCCAGCTTTTTCTAAATAAAGTTACTCATTTTGTCAAGTTGCTAGTTGCCCACAGCTGCATTTAGTGTCAACGATAGCTGCTAAAATCTCCTCCAAATCAGGTTCTTGCACAAGTTCTTGCCTTCCCCAGCTATCTTACCTGTATACAGTGTTTGCTAGTATGCAGCTAAGTACACAGCATACATCCCATAGGCAGCAAGGCACCTTCAGTATGAACAATGTAATATTATAAGTCTGGATAGAACCTGAATGTGGTTGAAAAAACACACCACCACCACCACATACACACAAAAAAACCCCTACAAAAACCAGGCAAACATAAGACATGAAGAAGAGATTTATCCATCAGGACTCACCAGCTCCCCAAAGTGCTTCATGGCATATTCCAGTACCCCAGCAGCTGCCTCTGGCTGTTGCAGTTTATTATTAATGCTGAAAAGGTAAGAAGAGAAAGACCATTTAACATAGTTGGCAATAACTAGGGGCTGGTATGAGCTTCTGCTTGATAATACCAAGTTATATTATTTAGAAATACCAATGGAGCACCTTCCTTTTTCATTAAAAATTTTCAAGGGAATGATTTGACTCTGTAAGACATGGAATGACTACACATTTGCAGAATTACATGCTACACATATTCTCAAGACTTGTTACACGAAACAGCAATTGTATATGATTATCAGTTCTAAATAGCAGCCTGCATAGGAAAAAGAATAGTTGCCAAGAGCTTGAAAGGCATAATTTCACAAATAACTGCACTTAAGAGCTTTACAATACTTATTCCCCCCCCCTTCTCTTAAACAGACCACTAACTCCTTAAAAAAAGACAACAAAAAAACCCAAAAAACCACAACAGAGTAGAGATTTTAATGCTTCAGCACCTGCTGGCATCACAGAAAGCTTGCAACCCTACTTTCAGTTTCACGTTTCATATAATGCCTCTGCACTGGTACTAACTGGTACTAGCGCTGCTCTATTGCTGGTTTTCAAGAACATGTTAGAAACCCCTACCATCACCACCAGTCCTCATTCTGTACCACTGAGACACTTTGCTTTGCAAGGGCACCTGAATTTTATGAAGCACAAGTAAATACTCACTCACGAGCCTGGTTCTCCAGGTCAGCAACATGATGTACAGCTATTGTCTTAGATAATTTCTGCTTCACATTGCTTTTCTGATCTTATTATCAGAAATGGCTCTGTCTGCACATTGGGGCTTGGTGACCAGTGCTTTTGCTAAACCCTAATTTAATGAGGAAATAAATCTTTTACGAAGCTCCTGCTATTTTATACAGATTATTTATGAACAGTCTCTGGCTCACTGCACTCCTCTTTCCAGAACAAGAAGTGCAAGTTGTTCAAAGCTATGTCACAACACCTGAGTGCGCTACACAACACACCCTACAGTCCAGTATTAATATTGGGTAACATCTGGAATGGAAACAGCATCACCTAACAAAACATGTCAACTGAGAGCAACGCAAAGAGACTTTCGATGGCCTTGGAATATGCTGCTGTAAATACAGGCAGCTTTCAAAAAATGTCCCTTCTTGCCTGCTACCATCAGAATAACTGCACATTTCCCCCTGCGAGAGGCCTTTAGATCAGGAAGAGACAAGGAAATCTATAGTATTAAAGGGAGTTCTCCAAACAGCCAAAGGAGGGAAAAATTTTCAAATAAGTGCTATATCTGTGGAAGTTTTCTTTCCAGACAACTAAAGAACCAAGCTCCTAGACATACTCTGAATATCTGGGAAGGTCAAGTAAGATACTCTTGGAAACAGGACCTCAGAATGGCTTGAGCTCAACTCACATTTAGTCAGGCTAAGAATGCACCACAATCACAGTTCAAGACAGGCACCCAAAATGGGAAGCACTTGAAATACATCCATGCCTTTTTTTAGCAAGATAGTCAAAGAACGTATACTTCCACACTTCCCAAGGGAAAGCTAGACAGCAGTGCCTCATAAAAGTGATAAATGGCTGTCACATTTCATATCCTGATGATTTAAAGGGTCATTGGCAGACACATCACTTCCAGCATGTCAGACAGCTAATTACTTCTAACTTATCTTTCTTGTCAACGCTTCCTGACAAATTTGACCATTATCTTTTATTCTTCAACTATTAGCACTGCTCTTTCGCTGATGCTCCCTCGTGCACTCAATTACTCTTTTTTTTGTTCCATACTTTCTTGGCTGTCCAAAGTAGAATTAAATGTTTCAAAGCTGTCTACTGCTAGGTTGAACATTCACTGACTCATTCCTTCAGAGTCATAAAACCTCGGTAATCACTGCATCATTTTGCTATTCAGTTTCACAGGCTAAGGGAAACAGTTGTGTGTGGATTAAGTTCTGATCTTGTGTTTTGGAGATTTCTTTGTTTCTTCTTTGTTTTGAAAGACTCAGATTTCTGCTTTTCCTCATCTGCTGGATTCAGTGTGCTCTGAGCACTGGAAGTATATTGACAGTTCCCAAAAATCACTGCTACCATAGCTGACAGGAATGTGATTTCAACAGACCCACAACTCTCTGCATACAAATTCTCTGAGAGTGGGCCTGCAGATTGTACTTCTCTTGGAAAAGCATTTCCACATGGAGTCCTGTTAACACAAACAAAATACACATTTTGAAATCAGGACATTCTGTGCTTCCCTACCTTCCCACCTTCCTACCACTAAGGCATCGCCCCTCTCCTTGCAGATCTGATGAGGCCTGCACTCAGGCAGAATCTTCTTGAGTTCTGCAACACTCTAAGCACTGCAGAGCACTTTTCTAGTTACTGAGACTGGACAGAATTAAAAACGCTATAGAAAAGCATCCAGGCACACAGAAGAGGTCCAGCAGGGCTAATATTCCAGCCAGGCAGAGCTGCCAGGGGGTTTTAGTGACAGTGTTGCTGCTGGAAATCAGGGTAGTTTACAGGATTAGATCGAGGTAGAGATTTTTCCTTGTATCTGGAAAAAGATAACCACAAAAATCTTTCTGGATTAAAGCAGAAGGTGGGAAAACATCTCTCAAGATAGAATCAATGCTGCTGGCTAACTCAGCAGACAGTAACTTAAGTCTCTGTTTACTGGGTGTTGTCCTTGCAGTTGGTCCTAATTCAGCATAACATGAGGTTCAATATTAAAGTGAAGATCAATTGTTCTCCATATCCATTGACAGTAGAATGTATTCATCTTTTTAATTTTCGTTTAGAAGCTAGAAAAAAGCCACCACGACCACCTACTTTACTTGAAGGGTTGGTCATAAAAAACAACTACCGTATTTCCTTACTTGGCAGTTTTTAGGTATAGGTTTGGTCATAGGTTACATACGTCACCTTTCAGGAAAAGTATTCAGAGTATTCAGCTATGCTGCCTGGTATGGACCAGCAGAGTGCCACATGTACATACATAAAATCTTCTGAAACTGTTCCAGGACAGAGCTGTCCTCATGTTTACAGGTAGACTAGTAAAACGGGAGGCCACAGAAATAAGAAGATTGCCTAAGCCACATGAACAATAATTTGATATAGTTTCAACTAATGCACTAATTTTGTTGTTTAATACCCACCATTTGGAGTACATTTTATGCAATAAACAAAGTGATTAGAAAAAACCAACAAAACATTAAGATCCTTACGCTCTTCTTCAAGATGAGGATTAACTAGTTGCAAAACTAATTTTCATCAATGAAATTTCGTATGAGTTTGGCTCACTTGGACTCACTGCACAATTACATAATGCAGCATAGTAGAATCAAATACATACACGTGTCAATCACAATAACAAAAGCATTAACTCCTGTGTCCCAAGTGCAAAATCTTCAGCATCTGTGAGGAGCAGCTGGGCAAGGAAACGAGACTGGCACAGAAAGCTTTGTGAGAAGACAGTTAAATCCAAGATTATAGATAACTTTTCCCCTTGATTATTAATAAATATCTGTACTGTAGCCAGGACAACATTCAATCCTCCTGTCAAACCCTAACCTAGTTGTAGCACTTGATCATGATGAGTGGAGTATTAAAATGTGACAAGCCTTCTGATGAAAGAAAATGCGTAGGGATGGAATGACATAGTAACTGGAAAGAGTCACTCCCCTTGGCAAAGGCCCTGATGTAAAAATATTGGACAAAAATGTTTAATCTTTGAATTTTATTAGTAGTGAAACATTACATAAACCTACTGTTTATTAAGATATCAAATAAAAATGTAAGTCTTAGATGTGCAGAGGACTAAAATGTAGCAAACTGAGCTAGAATCACAAAAAAGAAAACAATTTCAGAGAAAAATACTACTATTATAAAGGCTATTTAAACAGAAACCTGACATGAGCCGGGAATGAAAAACAACTTTACAGTCTTCAGTAGGAAGAGCACTCAAATGATGGACTTTTCTCCTCCACAAACCCTACGCATAAATGTCTAATGTTTACTAGAAATATTCTTTTATATATTTCTGGGAGCTTTCAGTCTCCCATTATCTTTGAGGGTCTCTAACAATATTTTCTGTCACTCAAAGTATATTTAGTTTTCAAGAACTCAGAAGTTAAGAGACTAGACCCTTCCCTATGCTCCCATAAAACTGAAAAACTTTCTTTTAGCTGAGCCTTTGCAGGAGGTCTCAAGCCTGTCTGTGAGGGAACACACACATGCCCTATTGTCAGAGAGCATCCCAAAACCTGAAACTTGCAGTTTGTTTAAAAAGCTCCTCCATGTGTCAGATTTTACCAACCGAAGTCAAGCTCATTTTTCCTTCTGAAGTGCTGAGAGGTTGCTTCTGGGATCAGAAGTGGAAGGCACTGCTACTTTGTGGAACAGATAATCCTCTGGCACGAGGATCTGGCTTTGTTGGCCGGTTTCCCCAATTCCCGAGTTTATTTGTGTTCAGGCATCCCTGAGCCCTTGATTCAACAAACCTCACAAAAAAACCAATTGCCCCCCAAACAACTCTAAAAATCAATGCATTTCCATCACGCCAGGAAAAATTATTCCCATGCTGGGAACAAATATGTTTGAAAAAACCAATACCAGCAAAGAACTGTTTTCAATAAGCAGCTGTGATGATTGACTGCTCACAGGCCAGAGCAGCAGCCCCTTCAGCTTTTCAGAAGAGCGCACCACATTGCTCACAGGCATTAAAATTGGCCAGTTTCCCAATCTTGATATAAATGCTTGCGAATCAAATCAAAACATTCATGAGCTTTGAAAGGAAAAGCAGCGAAAACTGTTACAATAAAAATCTTAGCCAGCCCTGCTCTTGGGCTGGAAAAGGTTTTCTGTCACTTAATCTTTATTGACCACATCCAGTGAAGGCAGAAAAGTAAAATAAAAAATTGCCAAGGAAGATATTTAGCAGAAAAAGGGGAAACAGAGCCAGAGTCTTTGAGTATTGCTTATGCAAGGAAAGGATACATTAAATAAAAAATAAATTACAAATTATTGCAGGA